TTTTTCTTCAGTCCTGAAATGTAAAAATAATAAATAATAAAATTCACTATTTTTTTTTAGGTTTATATCACCTCCACTGGCCATAAAGGTTCATGAAAAGGTCTTGAAAAGGCCCACGAACCACCAGTTGATAATCACAGTTGTAGCTTATTTTGCAGCTCTGGACACATTTAATTAGTGAGCCAAGGAGTAGAAATGTCTCTTTTGATTGTAAAGGTTGCAGAACCCTGTATTAGACTGAAAATCAACTGTTTTGCAAAGTTTTAAAAAAATTAAAATAATTTATTTAAGGGGATTTTACTTTGAACAGTTTGAAAAGTAAAACAGTTTCTGTGAGTTTTTTTGTTCACGTCTCTGTAGGCTCAGAGTCGCTGACGCTGCAGCTCCTCTTCCTCTTCCCTCTGTTTCCATCCTCTGACTCATCAAGGTACCCAACAGTCCGGCCTTCGTCACTCCTTTGGACAGAAGTAGGCGGCGTCTCTGGGAAGCTGAGGCCCGGCCCGAGCACCTGCCTGACGGTCACGTTCACCCGGGAGCTCTGGATGTACCTGGAGCACACGGCCCAGTCTTCCTCAGCTACCGGCTCCAGCACGCCTCCTTCCTGCGGGGACGAGGCGGAGCTGAGGTCTTCCAGGTCTGCCGCGCGCTCCCGCGGCGCCGGGACGATGCGGGGGACGGCGTGATAAAGCAGGCGGCTCTGACCCGACATCAGCATCACATCCCCGCTGTGCATGAACATGGCTGTTGGGGCGTCGTGTTTGTGGGGGCCGCCCAGGAGGAAAACGGCAGACTGTCCGAAACTGTTTGAACACAGTGACAATGAGAGGGTTTCTTTTCTGGCCTCTGTTAACCTGACCCATGAGAACAGGTTAAAAACTGCTCCACTGCTCACCTGAGCGAAAGCAGGGGCCAAGAGTGGTCCAGCTCCGACTCGTCCACGTGGATTCCCAGAGACGAATCGGATCTGTAGTAGTTCAGGATCGCAGCCTCGGAGCTGAATCCTGGAAACCCGCAGGCAGCCGTTATCCTGAAGGAGAGCGCCTGGAGATCYGCCGGGAACGGAGTGAAATGATTGGCAGAGTAAGTCTGTGGATGAGACAATAACACAAATAAAACAGAGAAAGAATGGTCTTAACACTCTTAATGTTGTGGTGTCACAAAAATTAAACTCGCTGCACAGCACTTTATGTTTCTACACGTCTTTGAAACATGCATCACTGAGGCTCTCTGCTCACCTTAGTGTCCCAGTTGTAATGAAACCCCAGAGTGACCCAGCGCAGTCGCTCCAGGAGAGTCTTCGCTTGGCTCTTTCCAGACGGAGGAGACCTGCAGAGGAAAAGAAAACAAGGTTTTATAAAACCTAAGAGCTTATTGGAACCCTGATATTCTGCGGTCCCAGACCCACCTGAGGACTTGTGCACTCCTGCCCCAGATGTCCTGGGTGTCTGACGGAGACATGTGCATGTCCAGGTTGCACACGTTCGGTTTCTGAGGATACGTCTTCAAACACTGTCTGACCCAGTAGGCTTGGGAGCCGCGCAGGAAAGGATTGGAGATGAAGATGAACCCTAAACGACACAAAATGCTCCAAATAGCTGCAGGTGGGGCATGGCAACAGAGTGCGAACATAAGAAGTTTACCTGCAGGACACTCAGGAACGATAACTAGGACTTATTACAACAAATCTTTCTAAAAACTACTCATGTTCCTACCTGGGTATCCCTGCAGGCCGAAGGCTCTCCAGTCTCTGACAGGCTTCAGTCCAACCATGGCAGCGTCCTCGTCCCTTAAAGCTGCCGGGTTCAGTTCAACTGAAACTATCTGACGGTGTCACATGAAGAAATTTGATATCAGTGTCTTTGATAGAGTTTAAACAGAATTACCTGACTCAAAATATTTAAATTAGTAAAAGCAGTAGGAGTTTCTGGTCAGCAAAGCCAAAAGCATTATTGCTTTACTATTGTTTTATTGTTTAAAAAAAGTAAATATATTGGTTCAGTTGGTAAGAAAAATAACACAACAATTGTTTTTTTTTTTTTTTTTGTTAGTTTAAGAACTACATTATTTATCTTTTAAGTAACATTCCTTTCAGTGAATGACTCCTCAGTGTTTCTGACCTTTTCTCCTGCTGCTCCGCTGCAGAAATCTGTAACATTTTTCAGATCTGGCGGAGGATCTCTCCTTTTATAAAATTTAAAGATTTTTCTGAACGCATCCTCTCCGCTTTCGACCACGGACGCCGCCATCTTCGCCATGACGTCACTGACCTTTCAACTCCGCTGGTTCTTCTTCTTCTTTGTGTTTTAATGGCGGTTGGCAAGCAACGTAATGGTGTGCATCACCGCCACCTACTGGTATGGAGTGTGGATCAGGACGCAACTTACACTGTATATGTAAAAAATAAAACATATCCTTTCAATCAGTTTAGTTTTCTTAAGGTAGTTTATCAAATAACATAAATATTCAAAAGAAGATGAGTATCCCAAAATATCTTGTATTTTTAACTGCAACTTATTATTTAAAAGTCTACATTCTGACTTCCTTCTCTCCTCAGGGTAGGACATATCAACAAAACATGTTTTACTGTCTCTTCTTGAACACAAAACTCGCAATTACCTGTTGGATGTTTTCCCATTTTAAATAGTGTACTGTTTAAACCTGTATGACAAAAACGTAACCTGGATATAATGTTTTCTCCTTTTCTGCTTCTTCCTGATCCCCTCATTTCACCAACTTTCCTTTGGAAACTATAAAGCCATCTACCAGTTTATTCTTCTTCCCACTGCTTCTGCCATCTTTCCTTAACCTTTTGTTTTATAACAGATTTAATTTCCTCTTTACTAAATGGAATCAGTATCTCAAAGCAACTGTTTTTTGAGGCTTGTTTTGCATATTTATCTGCAAACTCATTTCCTTTTATTCCTACATGAGATGGAACCCATGTAAAAATGACTATTAATCCCATGGCCTGAATTCTATAAAGTAATATCTGAATCTCCAATAAAAGGTCTGGTCTACTATTAGACTGATTTTTTTAAAGTTGAGTATAATGATGAACTTGAATCAGAACAAATTACACTTCTCAAAGGATGCACCTTTTCAGTCCAACCTAATGCCAAAATGATTCCCATCATCTCCCCTGTAAACACTGAGACGCCATCAGAAATCCTCTTACATTTTTAAATACCAAATTCTGGGACGATAAACGACACCCCATTGTTGCAACTTAAACTCTTAGATGCATATATACTTCAACATAACCATACAGTGGTTTGCAAAAGTATTCATACCCCTTGAAC